TATACATATACATATACATATCTATGAATATGCTATACAGACACGTTGTAGCTGCACGTCCTCCGTTTTGCCGGCTTGGCGTGCAGCCAAAGCCTCAAGTAGTCGGCCTCTCACACAAGATGACCCCGGTTTCGGATTTAGGATTCTTGGCTTTGGGGCCTCAGGGCTCTAAGGATATACGTCTCCGTTCCGGGCTTTCTTTCGGACAGCTTCGGGGAGTCTTGTGGCTACGGTTCTTTTTGGGACTCTGCCCGTCCAGCTCTTGATGCTTAGTCTCAAGGTCTCGCTGAATAGATGCGGTAATGAGGTCCAGCGAGCATGACACAACTCTTTGGCAATCCGGAACATGATAAAATGCAGAACTGTGGAACTCAGGAGTACACCGACTGTACTCGATCAGGAAAGTCAGGAGGGCCTGGGAGCCTTAACGCCGAAGCCTGGCGCTCAACGAGCAAGGCCTTTAGAGACCTTTAGGCTGAAGAAATGTCTTAGTGGCCCTACAGCATAGTAAGGCCCTAGAAATGCAACAGCAAGAGGGAGGCAAAGCTTTTGGATCGTGTTGTGGGCACGTGGGTCGGAATGCGGAAGCCGAAACCTGGAGCCCTGGCCTAGGCAAGCGTCGAAGTCCTCGATGGCTGCCAGGTACTGGGGCACCTCTCGAAGGGAATACCACTGCCACGAACAAGTTTAATCGTCATCACCACCGCCACCATCATCAACAACATCAGCTGGATCGCAATCGTCGTCATGATCACAGGCACTGACGTGCCAATGCTGCAGACTGGTAGTATTGACAAGGGTAATTAGCCGGGATCATCATAAGAAGTCCATGACATGATCATACAAAGCAAGAAGCCAGCTCAGCATTACGACCTGCAGGTGCAGCAAAGACGCGTCCAAGGAGAAGCCGTGAATGTGGCCGGCCATGTCCACGGTGTGCGTGTACATCGACAGGACCTGGCCGATTCGCAGCGTAGCCGGACCGTCGAAAAAGACGCGATTGAGATATCTGAGGTTTGAGGTCACGGTTTATGTATGGCTAGAGATCGCTGCATACTTCCAGCTTTGGTACGCCGACCCAGTTAGATTCAAGCCGGCGTGCAGTTCTCATTTGGCCGCGGCGAACTGACACAGTTCTGGAACCTCGCATATAGTATCTCCAGACATCGGTCATGGCCGAGATCCGAAGCTAACAGAATCCGTTTTTAAATTCAATCCAAGGCGGGAAGTCCTCGGGCACATCTGCATCAACGTCCTGGGTTTACTCCAGTGGTTTAATGCAAAGACGGCAGGACATGACGCGCGCTGCAACGGTCGCAGATGAGGAAGGCATCGAACTGCTGCATGCACACAGGAACAATGATCGGTCTACGCCACGGCTATGCCAGGCTCAGCAATGGAAGGAGAAGGCTTCGACATAATTGCACTAGTGACGGGTGACAACCACAGCTTTGCTCAATCAGTCTAAACTCCAGGCGTCCCCGAGCATTGACACAATGTCATCGACTGCCTTTGAAAGGTCGCCTGCCTGCAAGCAATCGGGTCTCGAAGTCTCTGTAGAACTCGAAATCGTCGAGTTTGGCATTTCAGTTGAAGCCCTGCATGCAGACTCTGTTCAACGAGAAGTCTTTCTTGAGTATGTGCGAGTAGACAGATTAACATGGACAGATCAAGACACAACGTGGTTTACGATCAGGCCGACTTGCAACTTAGGCTCTTAACCCACCACCTGATTTCCAAACCGCTGCTGCTTGAAGGATGCAAGACATTATGGCCACGGCCACTCTACTTGTAACCCTAACCACTGTTCAAGAACCCAATGAGCTCCCTACAGCACCAGCCAGAATCCAAAGATCCTCAGCTCAGCCAGATTCAATGAAGCTTTGGCCCAACGCTTAGTCAGCTTCCCAAGCCTTGAAACTCCTTAACCCCTAAGATCTTGGAGCTCTAAACCTCGAAATCTGTCTTGAAACCGTACTCTAGAAAACGAAACGCTCAAACCCTCAACGCTTAAACCCCTAAACCCCTAAACCCTAAACCCCTAAACCCCTAAACCCTAAACCCTAAACCCCTAAACCCCTAAGCCCAAACCCCTAAACCCCTAAAGCCCTAAAGCCCTAAACGCTTCAACCAACGGCTCGGGCCCTGGCCTCGTCCTTGTAGGCACGGACCTCCCAGACCCAAGGAGCAACCGTCAGAAGGGTTCAGGGGTTCAGGGCTTAGGCGTTTCGGTGTTTAGGGTTCAGGGGTTTAGGGTTTAGGTGTTTAGGGTTTAGGGTTTTTTTTCAGGTTTCGGGTTTGGGGTTTAGGGTTTAGGGTTTAAGGTTTAGGTATGGGGGTTGTAAAAATTGTTTGCCAGGAGGGTTACTGGAAGGGGTAAGCTGATGGAGGATGACATAGTATAAATATTGCTATGAGGGGACACTGTTCGTGTATGGGGGCCCTTAATAACTAGAATAGACTTGTAGGGTGCATTATATTCCCTAAACCCTAATCCCTAAACCCCTAAACCCTAAACCCTAAACCCTTTGTTCTGTATAGGTAACGGGGCCCAGAAGGACGACTAGGGTTTGGGGCTTAGGAGGATGCAGGTTAAAGGTTAGAAGGTTGCAGGCTTTGCGAGGATCCAGAGCTTGGAGTTTAGGGTTCGGGTTACAGGTTACAGGTTACAGGGTTTAGGGTTTAGGGTTTAGGGTTCGGGTTACAGGTTACAGGATTCGGGGAGCTTGGTTGAGTAGTTTAGGCTGATTACTGACAGCTAGAACAAGAATCACGCGCCCTGAGAGTAACGCAGGAGCAACTGTGGAGACTCAGTCAAGAAGAGACCATCGAAGAGCAAAGCTGGTACATCCGGCCTCCAGACGTCCCGGCAAGTTCGAGCGGCCAGGGTCCGCCCCGCAGAGCTTGGGGATGCCTGCCTGTGAAGCTGGGTGCAGAGGGTGTAGGGTTTAGGCACGCACTTCAGATGGAAGTCCCCAGCGGTTGAACACGTGAGACACCCACAACATCTTCTAGTGGAACACTACATAATCAAAGGTTGAGGCATCGGGTTTAGGGTTTAGGGGAGACTGGGGGTTGGGCTGAGGTCTTGGGCAAAAGACATGTGAGGCACCACCGGCAGCTAGCAGATCCGTCCTCTTCCAGCACCCGTTAGCCTTGTTACTCCAACTGCAGTTCGGACATGCCCGTCCATGGAAGAAGATAGTTCTCAACCAAGCATACAAATCATGGATGTGACAAGATAGCAGGAATCTGTACACGCCTTGTCGTCGTTGTTGTCATGCTCATGATCATCATCATCATCATCAACACCACCAACACCTTCATCCCGTCTTCATCATCACCTGATCGTCATCATCTTCTTCTCCATTCGCATGTACACGCGCCGGAGGGGATTTGTGCTAGCATGCGATAATAGCCAGCGACGAAGAATAACATGATGCCTTACCCTGTATTGGATATTCTACATACTTACACGCTATGTGTGTACACATTCAAATCTGCTCCTACTCATGTCTGCGGTAAATTTGGGCAAGGTGATGATACACACTGGGAAAGATGCCTCATCACGGAACCCACAAAGGCCAGGTACGGCTCCCAATATCACCCAAACCCCTAACAATCCCAAACCCGTCGATTGCTCGGCCGTGGCACCCAGCCGACATTGAGCAGAAGGCATCGGCCACCATTCTCCGCAACCCGGTGGAACCTGAATAGAATATATTATAATATAATAGAAAATAATATAGCAATAATATAACAATAATATCAGCTTCACAGCTTTAGGGAGTTTCTGGCTGGCGAGCGTCTCAAGGGCTTTTGGAGTGAAGTCAGAGGTTTCTGGCTCAAGAGTTCAAGTCTTGGAGGGCTTAGGATCTTGCGCAGAGTTTAGGGGGGGATGTTCTTCGTAAGGGCCCTCAATCCCAAAACCTCAAAATGCGGCTAGGGGGGTTTCCGGTGCGTTGGGGGCTTCAGGGTTTCAGGCTTCTTTGGATGTTAATTCTTCGGTGTATGTGAAGACAGAACCGTTGGGCCTAGTAGCAGGAGCCTGGATCCACAAACGCTAAGAGCTGAATCCCTAAACCGTAAACCCTAAACCCAGACCTCAGCTTGAAAGCGTCCACCGTAGGTGTCGCCCCTTTAGAAGCCGAGCTGCAGTGTCGGCGGGAGCTCGACAGCCTCCCCGATCCGTCGACGCTTGGCCTCATTCAGCACACATCGGGATGTGATATTGCCAGGATGACATGAAGACCAAAGGCTCTCGTGAAAGAGCTACATCCAGCAAGTAGATGTGAGTCCCCGAGCAGCAGACTTAATAGCAAAACAAGTTCCATGATGAGATGAAAGTAATTGGGTCTGTTTCGTTCGAAATAAACAGAAGATTACGACCACGATCATAACCATCCGTGTTGCTGTGTTTCATGTGCTACCTTGACTCTTGACACCAATAGTGTTAGTTGGTAACTTCTTGAAATGCTTATCCGCACCCGAATTGCTACTGTAATCTTACAATTGTACTGTAACTATTCATGGCATCATCACTATTACGCTGGCTACTCTGCCAAAGGCAGCTACTCCAAATGCTGTTTTGCTTCTTTGTAGTAGCTAGCATTGGTAAAGGCATTGTCATCATGAGCATGGTCACCACCACCACCAGCATCATCATCACCATCATCATCATCATCATCTTCTTCTTCTTCATCATCATCATCTTCATCATCGTCATCATCATCTTCTTCATCATCGTCATCATATTCTTCTTCATCGTGGTCATCATCCGGCACCATGGTGCCTTGTTTCTTACGTTTATGACTATAGCCTATAGCGAACCATTGCCATGTTTTGCTGAAAGCTATCGCACTGAGCTTCAACAACCAGCGCTGTCCCATTGAGCGGCGCTGAAAAACGAGTATCCTCTTGCTTCCTGCTCACAAACTGCAAAAAAAATCTAAGAATACTGACTGTTGGTTACAAGAACTCTTGACATGATCCTGAACCCACAGCCCTAGAATGATCCCAAAAGAAACCGTGCCCGGCCTGGCTGAAGGCCGACACGAAGCAGGCAGAGGCACGCTGCGGGGGCCGGCAGTAGCAGGGAGCCGTCTTCCTTGGCTTTACGGTTTAGAGTTTAGGGTTTAGGGCTCAAGGTTTGGACTGTGGAGCTTCGGGGTTCTTTCAGGGACTGAGGTGTGCCACGGCTGCGATCAGATATCTTTAGTCGGGCTTCACGAAGACCTTCCCCCCGGCATCGGTGGAGAGGAATGCATCCTGCTGCGGCTTGAGCTTAAGTTTCAGGTTTGGGGATCGAAGCCCAACCTAAAGATTCAGGGAGTTAGAGCCAGGGTTCTCGAACGGGTCCGAAACCCAAAATCCGAAACTCAACAATGAAGTATTGTGGATCTAGCCTCGTGGATGGTGGTCCTCGCTGCGGTTCGTTGGGTAAGACTAAACATCCAGAGAGAAATCTCTTCAGTCCGGCTTGAAGGCTCATGCAACCCAATTCCTCAGAGCAGCGTAAGCTCGATCAACTCAAAAATGTGATATGGACGAGAGTATACTATACAGCATCAGCAACAGGCATCAGAGCAGAAAGCAGGACAAGATTGCTGACAACAACAAAAGGAAGACTGCCCTATGGGAAACCAGCAAGGTTATTTTCCCACCCTTCTGGATGCGCAATTCTCATGTACGGATAAAAGACATCCGACTCACATCCCGAAGGCCGTGAAATCTGGAACTTCGAAGCACTGGTATTGCGGCGGCATTGCTACCAGTATGATGGGTCTCAGATAAGCACCTGTACTCTTATACTACTATCTTGCTACAGGCATTCATATCCAGCCAGACTAAACCCAAAGCTTCAGAGCTCGATGCACCAAGCCTGAAACTCTGAAGGCATAAACCCTGAAGAAACTCGGCCCAGCAACACTCAGAAGCATCATCAAAATGCCACGACTCAATAGCCGCAGTCATAGCAAGAACAGCAACAATAACACTAGCAACAGCAATAGCAATAACAATAGCAATACTACTAGCAATAGTCGCAACAAGGTAACAATACCAGAGCCACCAGATCATTGCTGGAGACGCGGTGCTCGCTGCCCTGCCGCCCCGTAAGCAGCGTAGCCCAGGAAGGAGCTGAGATGGGAACCGGTTCTGGCGCAAAGTTTAGGGTCTTAGGCCTTTATGGGTGCATAGGGTTCTTAGTCTCAGGGTTCAGGGTGCCTCAACGACTCTGCAAATTTGAGGCTTAGGGTCTCGGTTTTGGGGTTCAGGGTTTAGGGAGACATCTTTCAACCTACCAGGGTCGTTTGGGATTTCAGGCAATTCTGGGATGCACAGCTTTGTTTCTTCATGTACAATTGTTTCTTCTCGCGCACACTGTTCTTGTAGTTATTGTTATTGTTATTGAACCGCGTCAGCGTGAGTAGCCACTGGTAGTTTTACCCTAAACCCTAAACCCTAAACTCTAAACCAAAACCAGTGAGTGGTAGTACTGATCCGGGAGGCTTTCGGGGTTGCCTGACTCCGAAAGCAAAGCTCAGAGTGCAGAGCAAGGGTTTGGGCTTGGGGTTTCGTAGGATGTGGGGTCCAGGGATTGGGGGTTCAAAGCCAGAGCTTAGGGTTAAGGGTTCAAGGGTTCGGGGTTGGGTTCGGGGCTCAAATCTTAGGGTTCAGCCGTTGGCTGTTTGCCAAGCCTGTCGTGCAGTGAAGGGAGAAGGCACAGCGGTAGGAAGCACCACCCTGGCAGGCATCGGACACGCTTGACCAGTTTACCCAGCGAAAGGCCTACGCTGCGCCGTGGCTCACTTCACCCAGTACCCGACCAGAACCGACGCCACAGAACGAGCACCGCTTCGTGATGGACCATGTGCAGACTCCAGCCCTGTAGCAGGAGCTGCACGGGATCTTACCTTTGACATGCACCCTCAGAGAAAACCTGAAGCTCCTAGCATCCTCAAACACGCACATCTCAAAGGCCACAAGCCTTCGCATTCCGAAGCAGCGCACGTACGTTGGGCGCATCTGCTGCCAGCAGCGCCTGGAACGCACATTGATGCACCACCAGGGAGTGTGTCCCTGGTTTTGGGCCCACCCAAATTCCCTTCAAGGCAGCGCCGCACGACACATTGCAGCTCAATGCAGACAGGCTGCATCTGGTCTACAGCCGTCGAGCCTGTGCTGCAGGAGCGGGCGACGGAAGCCAACAAAAAGCAAACATCCAGGCTTCGATGCCGTCGTTGACATGTCCGACTGCGCTTGTTGCTTCTTGAAACTTGGCATCTTGTAGTGCCATTACTATTACTACTGCTATTTCTATTACTATTCCGAAAAACGATTACTATCACTATCACTATTACCATTAATATTCTATTACATTCCTATTTGTAATTCTATTACTATTAGTATTGCTGTGATTATTACTACTAGTATTACTTATTCCTGTTACTATTATCATTATGAAGCAATGAAAGCTTTATCAGGGCAGCACACCGACCAAAGAATGCCACAGTCTGCTCCAAACTTCTCAAAGACCCGAACACTCCATCCCAAGGGACGCACCGAAGCTCTTAGGGTTTCGGGTTTGGGGTCGTGGAAAGATGGGCACCCAAGCACCCCGAAGCTTAGCTTCGCCTCTTTGTGCCGGGCCACAGGAGCAGCAGCAGCTTCGGTGGCCGCTTCGGGGGCGGCTCCGCCATGGGGGCTTCGGTGCTTGGGGTTCTACTAAGGAGCAGTGGCTGGAGGGCACCGTAGCAACAGGAATAGGTCATGTGTCGCGGTTCGAAGCACGGACTGCTGCGTCCGCATTTAAGTGTCAGATCTTGAGATGTGCCAATTCGCTGCCAAGCATTCTTTTCATACCTTGCTGGAAGTGCAGCTGCTTGTCCAAAGAGCAGCTCTTTTATGCTGTCTGCATCATGGCAAGGATCTGCGAAGAAGGCAGAACGGAAGCTGTGACGACAGTGCTAGTGAGAACCCTCAACCCTTAACCTAAAACCCTAAGCCCTAAACCCCGATAAACCCTATTAAGCCCCATTACACTCCGATTAACCCTATGAAACCCTATGAAACCCTAAACCCCTATGAACCAAATTAGGAGACCCTCCTAAACCCCAATCACCCCTGGGAGCCCGCACAGGGCCGTAGCGCCTGCACCGCTGACCAAGACTGCTCTGGAGTCGCCTCTTCAGGGATCGGCTTATTTTTTATGGGTTTTTTGGGGGTTCTGGGCTTAGGGTTTAGGGTTTAGTTTAGGTGGAGTTAATGAGACTAGCGTGTCTCAAGTGTCTGCTTGGTTCCCCAAAGATTCCGCGGGTCCCGCTGTGGCGTGGCCCACATCTTCAAAAGATGGCTATTGCTTCTTGTTCCCTGTGACGTGCTTGTGATTTGCCACCGTCCGACAGTCATACTTACGTCGCAATGGGGTGCATGACATTCTGGACGAAAACCTTCTACAAGTACCCGATCTGGGAGAATAAAGCTCTTCACGTGCCACGGAGTCACCGCAGTTTGCCACGAAGAGGCGCAAGGATGCTCGGCAGAGTAAAGCTACGACCTTAGGTGGCAAAGACTGCCACACGGCTCTCCGAGTGAGACTATGCACTCATCTATGTGGGTCGGGATCCGAAGGATACTCAGATCTTGGATAGCTCATGGGCTTCGGAGATCAACCTACCCAGGGACATCGACAAGTGTCAGTCTTCGCCACATGGTCTCCAGCATGTCCATTGCATCTTGGGGGCTCCGCCGAGAATCCCACTGCAAGAGATGCATGTTCAGGATGACCGTGTTCGATTGCGCTAAATATGCAACAGCATTCATTCTTTGACTCCGAGGTCAAGGACGGTTGCTCCTCAACGCTCAAGCCCTCAGTGTCGAAACCGACAATCTCCTACCGCTCACGCCCGAAACCTCCGATAAAAGCCCATTCATTCCTCAGTCTTATCCTTCCTCCTACACCTCCTACCACCTCTTTGTCTGTTGTTGCCTTGCTTACAGCAAAGTCTATCATACTCTTGCTCTTCACCATCATCATCGTCACAAGAAGAAAAGAGAGGCAGGACTGGGTCTCCCGGCCGCTGTGCTGCCAGTGCCCAGCGCCGAGGCCATTCCGCTGCGCTTCAAGCGAGCTCGGCCCGCCTGGTGACACGTCATACTGTTAATGATATAAATCCTGCATTACCCTAAGGACCCCAAACTATGGGAATTATGGTATATTCCTTATTCTGGGTAATACAGGATTTATATCATCAACCGTATCTTGGCCCAGAGGGTGGAGTTGGAGGGTTCCGGTGGTTCAAGGCTAGAGTGTTCTTCAAGCTGTTAGGCTGCAGGTGCTGCAGAGTTGGTCTGCGGTGTAAGGCCGACATTGTGGCACCTCTGTGGCACATGGCGTTTGAGACATAGTCTGAGAGTCCGAGAATCCCGGCAACTTCACCAAGGTGGGGGCCAGAACCGACATTGGTTGTTCATGATAAGAAACCAAATTCGAGTGGGAACAAAGTGAATCTACGGCTCGTCTTTCTACCAGGCTGACTAGCAGTACTACATAAGCCGCTCATAAGCCAAACATGAGATTCCCAACTGCAAGAGCTCAACCCCAACATGGAGTTGCCGAAGACAAGGACCTCGCAACATAGATATGAAATCCTAGGTTCATTATTCTAAGGACCCGNNCCCCCCCCCCCCCCCCCCGGCAAATTTAGGAAGCCTCAATATCTTGAGGTCCTGAGCTCTTGAATGCAGGCGGAAACCCTGCCTTACTCCTCAGGAAGTCATCCTGCCCCGGGCAGCCGAGAGGTGGCTTTGGGGCGTTGGGGTCCAGGGCTTAAGGTATAGCTGCACTTCTTTGAACAAGCATCTGTCGTAGCTGCCAGATAAGATCACCATGATATACATAAACATGTGTTCCATATACACATGCTTGTCTGCTTGTCGATATGCAGATTGTTGAATCAGTTCATGTTCTGTTTTTCGATGTCAGGTTGCGCTGTTTTGAGTTCTACTCCATGCTTCATTGGCACGTTGCACACTCTCCTGCACTGTATGTTGCGGCTGCAAAGTCGCATGGGCAACGGTGCTGAAATCCAGGATGCCTTCCTTCTCTGTGAACTTCTTGCAAAAGCAAAGCAGTGGAGAAGCGGCACGGTTCCTACCTAGGGTGGGCCTTATAGGGTCCTGCCCTGACTAGGGCCCAGAGCGTTGCTGCTTGGGCTCACAACCTCGTTCTTGACTAAAGCCCGGAATCGAAATATGGAAGAGGCATGGTCCCTGCTGTCCTGCTCGAGAAATGCCTGCTTCAGCGCCTCCTCGAGACAAGGATCAAAACTGTGATACGAGGATTTGGGGTTTAGGGGTTGACAACTCCGAGAGCTTTTTTCAGAAATCCAGAACCACCATGGCTCGGACCAACCCATGAGCAGCAAGCAAGCCATAGAGGAATGCCAGGCCTCTACTTCCAACCGCCCAAAAACCCGTGCAGGTTGGTGATGCTACTGCTGTGATGTTTTGTGAAGGATCAGAGTCGCGACAAAAAGATTATTCGGATATCTCCGGCCCTGGTAGTAGTGGATTCAAGGCTCCTGGTACTCACCTCGCGCGTACTCCGGCAGCTGACGCAGGATCTGTGGAAGGCGCTCGGCGACGATCTCTGCTACAGCACTTCCTGCAGCACTGATCAACATTGCTGGAGCTTATCGGGATTCTGGGTGTCGGGATGAGCGCTGCCCTCAGGGCCTGAGGGATGCGACTGTGAAAGGGGCCTTGACCAAGTGCAGTTGCAGTTCCTGTGCTGAGGATGCCCAAGTTAAAACCCACCGGCCGAAACAGCTGGGATGTGATAAAAAAAAAAAAAGCTCACCGATTCCAAACCCCACGCCATCAGCCCCGACACCCTAAACTCCTGAAGCTTCAACTCTATGCCTAAACCAGAGAACTTCAGACCCTAAAAGCCCTAAAACCCCAAACCTTGAACCTTAAACCCGAAACCCTCAGCCAAGGAAAAACAAAACCTTTGCCTCCGTGGCCATCGAAGACGCCGTAAAGCGCAAGGCCACGGGGCACGTCGAAGTCAGGCAGAGCCAGGTGATAGTCCTCCATCTCCTGCACTCTGACGACTCTCGGGGATTCGGGGCTTGGGCTTTAGGGTTTGGCGGTGTTGAGTGTTTAAGCTCTATAGGGTCTATAGTTGAGCATTTCGGAATTTAGAGTTGAAGGCTTCAAAAAGCCAATAGACTGATCATTTTTTATAAAGTGCGAGGTACCTAATGTGTCGGGCCCAAGAAGCGGAAGCGAACGGGAGCAGAGTTCCCAGAAACCACCAAAGCTTGCTGATGTAGATGCCGCTCAGCGTGTGATGGAGGATGCACAGAGTGATCTCCTCACAGAGGGCACGTGGCAGAGAAGCGGAGTTGAGGATGGGAAGTTTATCATCGCCTCCGAAGCTGTGGCAGGCCGTTCTTTTTTTGCCTCATGCCTCACGTGGCGCATCTTTGCACACGCGATGACGTTTCAGTTCCTCTGCACTACCCCCCGGAAACTGTAAAACCGGAAGGCCACGCCAGGCTTGCAAGTACAAATTTCCCCAGAGACCATCCACAGGAAGAGCCACCTCTCCCACTTATCTTGGGTAGCAGAGGCTGGGACGGTCTGGGACGGAGACTTGGGCGCTCGGCCATTCGGCCAATCGCGCAGTCTGCATCTTTTCACGGCAGACACGGAGAAAGTAGAATAGAAAGGCTAGAGAGTAGTTGAAGCATGCACATAACACGCATCGGGCAATGCAACAGTACTTATACCTACAGGTGGCAAGATAGTAGTGAGGCACATCTACTATAGCAGATTGTAGTGGAAGTACGGTGCCTTCGTACCGTCCTTGAAGCAAAAATAAGCCAAGCCGAACCAAAGTGCAAAGAAGAGGAGGGACAAGAAGATCTGAAGCAGAGAGAAATCTCCATGGAGCAGCTGCTTGTAGGTTTTCACCTGGGTCGTGAGACCGCAGGTTGACCCATGCACCACGGTTCCAGAGAGTGTGGAGTTCACCATCTGCGATTGTACTGGCAGCTTCTTTCCGCCCGCATCAAGGACCTTCTTGATGTCATACCTGAAGAGCCACTTGCCATCATCCCAATATACTCTGTCCCAGAAGTTTCCCACATCATCCGTGTTGTTCATACCCCATAGATGGCCCGACAAGCCCATGCCAAGGAAGGAGATCTGCACCGTGCCGAACCGAAAGTCCTCGTCGAAGACCACCCGGAGCTTGCCGGGGCTCAAGAAGGCCATGTTCAGTGTCACTGCCCCATACTCCAGCCAACCTGCAAAGTCAGAGTTGTAGGTCCAGCTATATCCGGTTCCAAACGGAAGCAGAAGCTCCCGACTTGCCTTGTCATACGCAGCAGCTTCCAAGGTCAACATCAGCTCTGGACAGGTGTTGCCTCTCATCCACAGAACGCCCCGCACCCGCTCGGGGAGATCCTCGTTCTGGTGTCGCTGCCACATCGCCATGGGAGCCTCGCTTGCAGGCAGAGTTTGCACCTTGGAAAACTGCACCAGGTAATTTAGGAATATACCGAGGGCCAGCAAAGCCACGAAGGTCGCACATGGACCCATGGCGGCAAGGGAGGATGCTCTGGGAACGACGGGGTCCAGCAGAGGGGAGACGAATCTGCTTCCCACAATGTGTGGTTTGTGGTTCTGATAACACTCACACACTGGATGCCACAAAAAGCCTCGAGAGAAATCAGTCTGCGATGAACTTTCACTTCTCCTCTTCCAAGCAGCGGCAGACTCGTCCCGATTATGGCTTCGGACTTCGGATACCCCTCATGCATCCGGCGGTCCTTCGACTTCGGCGTAGCTTGCGTGGCCGTGATCGAGAGTGTAGGCCGCTCTCTCGGGAGAGAGCTTCCAGTCCGACAACCCTTGGATCCTGAGATCTTTAAACCCAGCCATGCCTCCTCTCTGGCGGTAGATGATGATTACCCCCACCCCTTTTGAGTGTGAGGGTCTGCATAGGTTTGGTTTGGATCCGGGTGTTGCAAGTACTGACATCTAGGCACGTCTAGACGCTAGACCCTGGGCGATAATGGCAGTCGCCCGCCACCACGTCAAGATACCAATGCTAACAGTTATCATCGGCAGTCAGAAAGAGAATACCATGATACGGAACATCAGCACGAACAGAATCTGTTCTTGCAATATCCATCCCACTCGTCATCTTGATATTGCGCAGGAGAGAACCATGACCCCACAAATGAGAGGCAACGATAATCGCAAGCATTTCAAAGAGAGAGTAGCATGGTCGGATCGAAGCCTCGGAGCCTGAACCTCGGGACTTCAGCACACAAAGTTCACAAGCCTTCAGTGTTGGCTCTGGGCGCTCAGTTTCAGGAACTGCAACTTCCCTGGTGCTTCGTTACCAGGGAGAAGTACGAAGAAAAAGTGAACATGAGAAGAAGAAGAGGAAGCAGAGGAAGCTAGAACACTTGCGCTGACATCCACACCTTGATCTGCGTTTGGCTATGATACGCGCAAACACAAGTACGGCTGTGGTTATTGCGCCTAAACCCTAAGCCCCCTGCCTGTACGACAAAGACAAGTGTCAAGGCTGCTGTGAGTATCGTTGCTCTTGCCGTCCCCATTGCTGCTATGAGCAACCGCCTGTATATCCTATGCAGCATCCTATACAGGATGTATTGACGATGGCGGCAGATCTTGCTGCCGCCGTTCGGTTGGGGAAACAAAACCTTTGCCTCACATAAAAACCAACACTCAGGGACTGCCCCTTCACAGCAGACTCTACATCGAAGTAACTGAGCATCCAACCAATGAACCTAAACCCAAACTCCCTTCGCCCTTTGGCTTGCCTCCCGCCAGCCCTGCATGGCCGCCACACCGAAGCGGGAACCATCCGACCCCGCGCCATCCGCGCAGCGCTGGACAGGCCCGGTAAAGGCTCAAGGTTGAGGGTCCAGGGTTGGAGGTTGGGAATTGATTTAAAGTCGCTTGTCCGAGGTTGGGAGTTTCGTGCTTTGGGCGCGGGGGGATGGGGAGAAGCTTCCAGTAACCCAAACAAGAAGAGTTGCAATTGCTACTCTGGCTATTGTCAAAGTCCTTACTACGGCTAGCCTGCAGGATGCTTGGCACTTGCTGGGCTTCAAAACACATGGGCAGCTTGCAGCCTCGGTTCGAGGTCGACTGTTTAGCGAAACCAAGCAGAAGTCCCCATGAAGCTGGTCGGAAGTCCCAAGACAAACGTTAACAAAAGTAGAAAAAACACCTGGTGAACCTACCCTCAACCAGTTCAAAACTGATGAAAACTACTGCCAAAACGATTATCAACCACGACACCGGTTCTCATTGCTGCCGCTGTTGCTGTTGCTAGTATGTAGTAGCTGATCGACAGGTCATAACAGTCACTGAGTCATTGTCATCAAAGCTGCGCTACTCCTAACCCTAAACCCCAAGCCCTAAGCCACTTATGACGCTTCCCCTACGTTTTTTGAGTTCGTCGATCCGAGCCTTGCGGCGGACAGGCAGCTTCACCATGGCGGCCGGAACCAATCGAGTCTTGCAGTGATCGCTGGAACTGTACTTGGAGGTTCATGGGTAGTTATAAGTAGGATTGTAAGTGGGTTATAAGTAGGGTAAATATACTTATAACCCATATTAGGGGACTGCTAGATGGTGCCCCTTTGCATGGCACGGCACTACGTCACTTTGACATACAATTGCTCTGTGCACTGTGTCGTATGATCCTTGGTCTGACGGGTTCTTTCTGGGTCCAAACTCTTCGGCTTCAGCTCAAGCGCCTGAGGGTCTACGGCTTTGGGGGTTTGGGTTGTCGTAAAGAGGCGATGTCTGCAGAAAACGCTCGGCGTACGAATACTCTTTGCAAGGAAATTTGGGGTTACGCCTTCGGCAACCGGATTAAGGCCCCAAGGGTTTCATCAAAGTTCAGGGCCTTGCAGACCGATCTCCAGGCTCGAGCCAATGGCACTGAGCCAGACGTGTCTTGTTCACAAAAAGTGGCAGGACGAAGGAACTTGGCATTGATGGCACAGCCAGCAATAGAAACAGCAATAGAAACAAATCCAGCAACACACGAAGCCGAAAAAGGCACAAACAATACAAACAGCATGTAGCAACAATGGGAAACAAGAAATGAGTTGCCGCACTGTTGCCGCGCTCCGGCCCTCCTCGTAGGGCCCAGCAACCGACGTGCCGTGGCCCAGGGCAGATCCTCGCCCCCAACGTGAAGCCTCGATTTCGTTTGAACATTTTGGTCTAGGGCCAACAAGAAGAAGCAAGAAGCAACACAGCTCCACCCCTGAGTTTCAACAGCTTGGAGTTGAGGGCTGGGGATTTGTGTCTTCTTGATTGTGTGGGGCTTTTCGGGGAAGGCAAGACTCAAGAGAAAGGTGAGCCTCGGAATGTCAAGTTTGGGACTTGGGCTCGAGGATAAGGCTGCATTCGGGCTTCACGAGACCATGCAAGTGAAGAGCCAAAATGGAACTGCTCCCTGAGTCTTTGCATGGACTCTTTGGCAGGAGCAAATCGGTTCACGCATGGGTCGACGCGAGCCTTTCAACATTTACAAAACCCCCGTCGGCATGGCCGTGCTTCAGTCATCACAACAGACATGAGCATTATCACAATCGTCGTCGGCATCATGATTGCCACCTCCATCGCACTTTTTGTCGTGATGAGTTTCATCATCACACACCATAACCACCATCATAACCATACATGTCTTACATATCCTTACACTTCCACATCTTGCTCTTCAGTCTTATTGGTAGCATGACCATTGACATGGACATGACCATCAAGCTGCGAAAAATGGCGCCGATCGCGATGATGATGATGATGATGATGATGAGGTAGATGAACACAGTGCATCTAAGGGTAAGGAGCGAGTTGAGTACAACATGCTGGTCTTACCAATGTCTTCCGTAGAGAGGAACTCCGTGTGTGCCGAGGTACAGAGACCAAGTGTCGAGGGTCCTGCCCTGGATGGCTTCGCACGACTGCTGCTGGGCGGGATACAAACAATCCTACAGTTTCCGGGTTTCCGTACAAGCCTCCATCTTCTAAAACTCAAGCGAGGTGCCCATCCGCGTCAACAGCCAGTGCGACATCAAGGCGATCATCCACGATCAGTGGCACGCCGTGCTTGCGCGTCAGCTCCCGAATCTGAAGGGGCTTCCGGGGCACGGGGAGGCATCAGAGGTCTCTACTGCATTGCGTGTATGTGTACGTACATGTTGAAGATTATCGATACATGCACATATGTGTATGTGATGCGCACAAACGGTTTGGACAACGAACAGGAGCAGTATTTTTGCGAGGACGGCTACTGTTCTTTTCTGTTGTTGCAGAGGCTGCCACACGGTTGTAACAGCCGAGCTTTGCCCCGCCTGATGTCCCCAGTCCACGAAGGTGGCAGTGGAGACCTTCTCGAGCAGCTTAGGACCAGGACGCTCGGGATTGGGTCTGATTTCAGTTGTTGGTGCCACTGGGGGGTCAGCAGTGGCTAGAGACCAGCATTTGGGCTTTAGACAGGGCAGGCGCATCAGGATTTACGGTCTTGGGTTTCAGGCTCTACAGTGAGTATCGACCAAGGGTGACAGAACCTCCATCTGACGTGTGTCAAAAATGCACCCCCGAGCTTCCGACGTTCTTCAGCCGCAGCTGAACGCAGGTAGTGCCACCTCCAGACTTTGCCAGGGCCACCCAGGAGTGGACTGAAGCTCTGCCATGCGAGTCACGAAATCACGACCCGAGCTTTTGGCATCTGCTGTGCCGATGATGAGAACAGTGATGATGAGGCTGGCAAAGCGAAGCTGATGATGAGGATGCTTCTGAAGAAGAAGAAGAAGATGATGATGATGATGGCAACGACGAAACATAGTGTAAGAATTAGGATGAAAGCGTTTGCCTTCCTTTCGGCTATGACTACGAGCCATGGCTTTGGCTATGACATGTTACTGCCGCGATGATTGCTGAGATGATCCTCATATAATCGAAACATGAGGAAGGAGGAGCAGGCACTTGCCTCAATAGGCGACTTAACATGGTTGCGGTGCCTGGTAGGGGTCGAAAAACCAAAAGCAGCCAAACAAGGGCAATGGCCCGACGGAGATCGAATGCAAAATGGCCCCTACAAAGCTCGGACATCTGCACTCAAACAGCTGCATCAGGGAGCTCTGCCCCCAATCCTCGGGACTGCTGTTCTACATCTAGCTCTGACTGCGAGCGGCCCCTGTGCCTCGAATGGCTGCGTCAACCTGTCGGCAGACCACTGAAGCGGCTCTAAAGATCAAGGACTAGAACAATTCAATGGCAAAGCTCCGGCAATTCATGGCAAAGCTCCGGAGATCGGGTCCCTCGAGGAACCTCCGAATGAAAACCGAAACTGAGCAAGCTGAAGGGTCTGGATTCCCGTCTGCATTTAGGGTCTACCTGCTTAGCTAGGCATGGAACATGCCAACTGTCCCTACTTGGCATATGCTTATGACTTATGACATTTAGGCAGACTTGTTATATTGCATTGCAAACACCATTGTCGCAGCAGCAGCAGCACCACCACCACCACCACCAGCTCCTGCTCCTTCCCCTGCTGCTAGTGCTACTGTTACTGCTATTGCTATTGCCACTGCCACTGCTGGTGCTACGGATGCTCCTCGCACTACTGGTTGAAGAGAAGCTGCACTATCTCCGCCATCGCATGTTTCTTCTTTCGAGCTCCGAAACGCGGTGTCGAGCGTTTCAGCCCTAGGGATTTCGAAAGGCCCTGAGCCAAAGCTATCGGAAGTTCCGCTGTCCAGCGACTCAGCCGGGCCGCCGCGAGCACCAGAGGACGAAGTTATGTCGTGAAGACGCACACAGAAGCACCAGCTGAAAAAGCTAAATGACAGCTCTGTAGTAGTGTCAGAAGAGCATGGTAAAGGTCATGGCAGCAGTCGGCCTTCGAATAGAACTGGTCATCCAGGAAAGGGTCGTCGGTCACCAGATACAGCCGGTAGGTCCTCCGAGTCGGAGAACGCAGGCGCAGGAGCGTCACAGTGAGAAATCGACAATCCCGATGCGCACTCATGCCCGCAAACATATGCTGCTGGCTGAGACCTTACACCCCAAATGCCAAGCTCAGGGTCCGACGCCGGCAATCGAAACTTGTCCGTCGAGAAGGGGCGCAAGTGCTTCCTAGCAGCGCTCTCCGTCCAACACTCTCAGCAGTTCGGGGTGTTCTTGCACGATCAAGGGCTAAGAAGTACAGCTACTGGACCGGAACCACACGTTGTCTCACTTTTGCTGCCCCTCTTGTTGCTTTCCCTGCGCTGAGCCTCAGAATAACATTGCAGGTGCGCTTCCTTTGAAGAAGCGTGTGGCAACATGAAGCCTACAGCTGCTTAGCCCTGCCTGGAGTTTCGAGGACTGCAATGGATACACCTCATGATGATGATCAAGGTGATTTGGATATGGTCCTATGGTGATGACGACAATGATGAAGTCCGTTCCAGCAGCGGCAGCTCTAGCAGTGATGGTTTAGGGAGTAGTGCTTCTCTTGTTGACACTAGGCATTCGATCTTTCCTAGGTCCTAGGTATGACAAATCTTGAGGACTAACGAACCAAGATGTAGTCAAACTGGAAGCAGATACCATCTTCTCCCAAGAATCTGCCTCGAACTCGACCCCAAGATCTTCGAAGTTGAAGGATCTTCCGAGCATTCCCAAAACATGAAAGTCGCAGGGATATCTGTCTTGCCACGGTCATGAGGGCGGCTACTGATGTCATGTCCATTCCCATAGTTCCGATTGTCCAATAACTCTTGGTGTTGCTCGCTTTGTACCCTATGATACCCTATGTATCGCGAGTCACTTAGGTGGCTGCACCTGGCGTGGAAGCCCACAGCACGCCACATGGCAGGAACCAGCTGGGTGCTGAGAGTCTGCTGAGAGCTCACCTTGTTGTGATTCGACAGTCCAGACCGCCGTGACGGTGATGACGTTCAGCTGCTTTTTTCGTGGTCATGGCCTTGAAACTGATCATGATCATTGCCACGATGGTGACGATGGTGTTGGGAATGGTAACAACGGGGGTGATGGTGATCGCGATGCTAGATAATGGTGATGACGATGATCACCGTAGCCGTGGTACCGCTGATGATGGCGATACATGGTAAAGCTGAAGGTTCTGATGGTGACAATGACAGTCGTGGTGGTCAGCGATTCTGTGCAAATGCTCCGAACTTAAGAGAAAGTGCTGCGGGCCGTGGATGCTTCACAATTGCCAATCCGCGAGATTCAGAATTGCCCTTCAGCAAAAAGATGGAGGCGGAGTGCAAGCAGAGAACTACCCGTCTGCCCGCTCATGACGAAGGCTCGGCGTACTGGGACAAACCACTGATCTGGCAGCCCTGATAGTCACAAGGGCCGAGGACGAGGTTCCCTGGAGCCCTGGACCATAGGAATCCCACGTCCTGCAACCAGACGTCCTCAGCCCCGAGCCCCAGGATCAATGAAAGCAGGAAAAAGTGCAGAATCAGGGGAGCGCAACCTTCTCTTCGAATCAATCTGCGAAAGCCTCCACGGGAATGCAAAGCAGCAACATGCAGCGCGAACCCTAAGCCTTTGATTTCCCATGGGCCATACTTTTGCTCCAGCTTCCGGGCACGATTCAAGATCGGGTGGTGACATGAGGCTCATGGATTTCTAGTTTCACGCTTGGGCTTTTGACTCGTGTGTCGGGGCTCTTGTCTTCGGGTCAGGGGCCTCTTCGTTGTCACGAGCTCACCTTGCCCTGATACATGTCCTTGATTGCAGGAGTACCACTTTGAGTAGTAATAATAATAGTAATAGTAATAATTTCTGGAGTGTGTGTCGCTGTGAGGGCCCGCTTTTCTCGAATAAACATGAGGTTTTTCACTGTTTTTTTACGTTTTTCTTCAATTTT